TGGTGTGTGATCAAAAAGGATGGCTGGATGACGACAGTAAGTTTACACTGAGTTAAACACTTTACATTTTTGTATTTGCTCTGATATTCCCTGAATAGTTTTCCGGGATTATGTATTGGTTATGAACAAAATTATGACTTAAAAAGATTGCTCTTTTGGTTTCTGAAAATTAAATACTTAAATTAAGTAGCTTTCTGAGAAATGAGCAAATGAATTTTTCCATATTTGAAGTAATAAAAAAGAACCATTCCATCAAATACAGCTCTTTAGGTAGATTACTTACATATAAGTAACCCTCAGGGAGGAATATCCAACACTCTTCATAAACCACCACTCTACACACACTTACTCCTTTTGTAATCTCACCTAGCAAAGCCAGACCACAAAACAGGAGTGGGAAAACTAAAATCCACAGATACATTGGTGAGCCTCACAACACAGGTCTCTTTAAATAGCCAATTCCCCTAGTTTTCACCCCAGTGTTTTATATATAAAATGTGACCTACTTTGACTAATACAGAAATGTTCAAAGGTTCATTTAGAGCACATGGCAAGTTACAGCTGCACAGAGCCAGGATACCCCGTCCCTCACTCCACCGGGCCAGGGGCCTTGTGCTTACACGCACGTCAAAGTGCTAGAACAGGAAGGATGGAAACCCGGCCACCCTCCAGTCCTGGATCCACACGACTGCTGCTATGCACCCATCATGACACTTTCCTCCTACTTCGGAATCCTTCTCAACACTCTCCAGTCAGTCACTATCACTTGGGGTTGGCAAGTGAAACCTAACCATCACCCTCATTCGAGAAGCCCCCGCTAAAACTTTTCTGAATCAATTCTGCTACATACTCACTGGAAACAGAATATCATCCCTGATCGAGAATTAAGGAACACTTTGGAACAAGGCAGCAGCAAAAACAACCGTTGTAAGTACAAATACTAAGAACCTTAGCTCTGCCAACCCGTAGCTGGGTGGCCCTGGGCTCCCAACACAACCTCTCTGAGTCTAAATCTAGTCACCTGTACCATGGGAATCCAAGTATCTCCCTCATAAAGGTGCTCTGAGTACATGCTAAGCACTGATGTGTGGTCAGCACTACTATTATAAGGCATGAAATCAGACTGCATTCCTGGAGGGGGCCTTAGGAGCAGCCCAAAAAGAAAGCAGACATTCATGGAGTGCCTTCCACATGCTAGAAGGCTCATTTACTCATTCCCACAACCACTTTATAACCCGGTCCACAGCCTGGAGACTGGGGCTCAGAGAAACGAACTGACACACCCCCATGCAAACGCGGGTCCTCCTCATGCAGAGCCACACTGTTTCCACCACGTCACCCCACCACGGACGGATGGACAGATGGAAGCGCTCTGTCCTGGCAAGAGAGGGCTTCGACCGCTACCTTTCGCGAAAGGGAACTTCACAGCGACCAAGGACCAAGAAGATGCCAACAGAGAGAGCCCTCCGTGAAAGTGAAGAACCACTCTTCGAGCTTTACCATGCCGCTGGTTGCCATGACTGTGAGAACCAATACCAATGAAGAATTTTTATTAAATTCTTTTTGAAAACGCTTCCTATGCCCGTGATGCATTAGCCGTAACAAAGAGAAACGATATAAAAGGACGAGAAATTCTCTTATGACGATTAAGGTGAATTAAAACCGCTTTAAAAATAAAATAATAAAAAGGAAGATTTAAAAAACAACCACTGTCTTAAGACTCGGTTCTTTCACATATGAAAAAACCCAATTTAATAAAACCCAAAGATAAATTATTTGATTATAAATAATGAAATACGGAAGTAACAAAAGAGAACTCTGTATTGATTCACAAGGTAAAAATACACCTAGAGAATCCAAATTAAGTTTTAAGGTATTTCCAATTTTTTTTTTTTTTTAAAGATTTTATTTATTTATTTGACAGAGAGAGAGAGCGAGAGCAGGAACACAAGCAGGGGGAGTGGGAGAGGGAGAAGCAGGCTTCCCGCGGAGCAGGGAGCCCGATGCGGGGCTGATTCCAGAACCCTGGGATCATGACCTGTGCCGAAGGCAGACGCTTAACGAATGAGCCACCCAGGCGCCCCAAGGTGTTTCCAATTTGTATGTCGGAATAAGAGTCCCAAGACATTTCTGCTTTCCTAACCATCCAAGGGACAGCGATCTGAATTTTGATTCTCCACTGGGCCACTTTCTAGCATGACGCTATGCACTGCCTTGGTCCCATGTCCTCTCTAGAGACCAAACAGTAAAACTAGAGGAGGCCAATGAATGGAAAGAATAATTTATTTTTTAAAGATTTTATTTATTTGACAGAGAGAGAGAGAGAGAGATCACAAGCAGGCAGACAGGCAGGCAGAGGGAAAGGGAGAAGCAGGCTCTCCGTTGAGGAGGGACCCCGATGCGGGGGGCTCGATCCCAGGACCCTGAGACCATGACCTGAGCCGAAGGCAGATGCTTAACCGACTGAGCCACCCTGGCGCCACTGGAAAGAATAATTTAATGGCATATATTTGATGCCAGTTTAGGCTAGAAAAAAGTAGAGGAAACAAAACTGACTCTCTCCAGAGTAAATCTCACTAGGAAAACTCATAAATACAACATACTGTGCCTTTGTACTAACAGGATGTATAGAAGTCCAAGGCTCACAACAAAATACAAGAACATGAACAGACAACGAGATGCTTTTATTCCATAAGTAATTATAAACCTGAAATGCATAAATACGATTCTGCGCGGGTGTGATGTGCTAAGCCTGTCAGAGCCTTCCCGGGGTGCTGGCTGAGCCCCTGGCATTAACACCACAGCCCACAGAGGAAGAGCGAGGGCCAGCAGGGCCAGAGACAACAGTCAGGAGAAATGTGAGCTCACCCAGCACCCAACAAAACAGTTTCCTCTTTGCATTACCTGCACAATTATGAACATGTTCTCTTAAGAATAGTTCCTACCCACACAAAAAAACCCAAGGCCTCCAGGAAAATACGATTTTTTCTGGTTCAGAGAGACACACACAAGGGTGATCCTGTGATAAGTTGAAAGTTGCCAACATGCTACTGCAGGACTTGTTGGAAAAAATCCCAAGATACAGAACATGTTGGTTAGATAACTTAAAACTTAGGAATTAAAAAGAGAGGTGCGCCTGGGTGGCTCATTCATTAAGCGTCTGCTTTTGGCTCAGGTCATGATCCCACAGTCCTGGGATCAAGCCCCGCCATCGGGCTCCCTGCTCAGCGGGAAGCCTGCTTCTCCTTCTCCCACTCCCCCTGCTTGTGTTCCCTCTCTCACTGTCTCTCTGTCAAATAAATAAATAAAATATTAAAAAAAAAAAAAGAATTAAAAAGAGAGCTAAAAAGTTGTTCCCAATTTTGGTAAGCAGCTGTTTTCACACAGCATTCCTCTGTTGTTTCTCTGTGTATTATAAAATTATACAGCATGATTCTGGAATAGTCTTATAAAAAATACATTTTTTTCCCAGTGGAGAAAAAAACAACAAAAATTTTAGTAGCTAAGTTATTTTAAAGGAGAGGTGTTCATTAGTTTGAAAGCTGCTCTCTGAGAGCAGAGCAGTGAACTGCACCTCCCAGCCCGTGAGAAGCCCTTACTTTACACCAGCCACAACACACGCACCACCAACCATAAATGCCACGGGAAAAGGTCTGCTCCCAACCGTGGCTCCATGGCCCCACGGCCCCTCCTCGTAAGTTTTTAACTCAAGTAAAAAAATGAGACATTGACAAAGTCTGCCTAAACAAGACTTTGACAAAGTCAGCCTGAAACAAGGTCAAAACAGAAGATCACAGATACCATGAAGCTGCTTAATGCTTGGGTTCTCGCCTGAAAAAAACAAATTCATACAATGATAAAACAAGCTAATGTGATAAAGGCCATCTGCTTATCCACACTCTGAATCACAATGAACGGAGATGAGAAAAAACAGATTTGAAAAAATAGCACAGCCTCTGTTGAAGATGGAATTTCCAATTCATATTATTCTCTCAACATTTTTCTTACCGCCCATGAAAAAGTCACACTAATTTTAGTCTACAGACCTAGAAATGAAATAAAACTCAACTCCTTCAACCACCAGCGACGAGCTGTTCCCCAGCCAGCTCAGCCGCGCCCGGCCACATCCCTCCCAGCCGCACGGAGAGCGATGGCTGTCCGTCCGCTTGGGTCTCGCCGGCCCGCTCCAACAGCCCGCGTGCGCAGTTCCTCCCGGCTCCCTCGACGCACAGGACACACGGCACGTGCAGGGCCGCGAGCGGGTCCAGAGCACGCGGCCTGGCGAGGAGGTATGCGTGCTGACAGTGCATCTCCCGCGGGGGCATCCGCCTGCGGCAACGGCGTTACCGAGCCGAGTACAGACCTCCTCCAAACCGCAACGCCTGGGCCTCGCTAAAAATGCTTTAGAAGGGGCAGCGCCGTCCAAAAGGAAAGAAAGCAACGAGGCGCGCCCCGCTTCTGAAAGCATGTGCTTAAGATCATGCATTATTTCCCTTCAGAATTCTGTTGGTCCTTTTGTTTTTTCCAAGTGCGGGGGAGATGAGCGTGGAAGGGAAGACCGGAAACAGCCTCCCAAACAGTGCTGCTTAAAAGGAGCCACTCAATATACGCGCTCGCCCCCCACCCACAGGTGCTCACTGAATCTAAAGCTACACATAAAAGATTACTTGTTTTGTGGTAAAGGAAATTTTATTTTTAAAACAAACTTGATGGTTCTATCACAAATTCCCTACAAAAATAAGCTAAAACTGAGAAACACCTAGTTTGGGGACTGTCACGCTGGTCTTCCGTGAAGACTCCAGACAGACAACACGGGTCTCAGTCGGAAGGAGAATCGAAATGACAACTCTCGTCCCCGACCGCAAGTGCGGACGGGCTGGACCACATGAGTGTGACAGAGGCGGTTCGGACTTCCCTTTCTTCAAAACCCTTCTCTGGCAATTAGGACATTCTGAGTGAAGCACAGATTCCAAGAGGCACCAGTTACCTCGTCAACTTACCCCGCCTGACAACTTAATCACCCTGACCTTGGAGCTGACGTGCGGCCCATCTCCGCCACCGCTGTTTGCCCGGTGCATGACAGTCCTTTTCGCGCCGGGCTTGGCGTCCGGGGGCCGGCCCTGGAGGGACGCCACTCGAGCGGTCTGTGAGGGGGGTGGCGGCCCCTCCCCGTCCGCAGGTTTTACCTGCAGGACTTTGTGCTGAGCTGGACTCTGAGGCACGGTTCTGGCCTGTCTCAAAGGTTTCAATGGTTTCATCAGCTGTCCTTGACACTGCATGTTAGCACCAGACGGCACAAAATTTGATGTTTTGGGCGGAACAGTGGAAAGAGTGACATCTTGGTTTTTCACGAGCAGTCTGTTTTTCACGTTTTGTCTGACCTGTGCACCTGGGAAGGGTAACAGTGGGTTTCCATTGGCGGGCGACGGGGAGGCCGCCGGCTGCTCCGGCTCTGCCGAGGCCGGGGGCAGGTGGAGCTGCTGCTGGGCCAGCCGCTCGAGCAGCTCCTTCTTCCGCGCGCCCGCCTGCTGCTGCCGGCGCAGCTCCTTCTGCTTGAGGATCTCTTCTCGGAGGCGCTTCTGTTCTTCGATCTTCAAGCGATACAGCCTCGTTTCCTCGTCTTCGTCAGGAAACTGCAAGAGAACACAGGCCTGCTTCAGCGCGGAGGACGAGGCGAGGGGGGCCGACCCGGTCTAGCGCAACAGACTGAGAAAATGCACCTTCCAAAAACGATCCATTCAGGATCGGAAAGAAGCCACTCAAAATCTGCTTGTAGACTTTAAGTATAACTCCTCCCTCTGGGGAGGGGAAAAAATTACACACAGCTCAAGCTAATTTGGAAAATCTTATCAGAATATTAAAAACTATTGAAGTAATGTAAATTTCCACTCATTTACAAGTTTGAAACCAATTAAACTGTTCATTTAAGATATCAAAATATGTTTCGAATGGAAAGGCAACGGTAGGGAGACTGTGCTGTCACAGAGGTTTTATCTGGCTCTTCTCTGACGAACCAACAAAAGGTGGGTGTAAATGACCTGAAAGGGCCTGATTAGAACTATTGATTTTTCGTACAGAATTTTCAGCCTGATCTCAAACTCATTTGTCACAGAATAATTGGTTATAATGAACAGCACAAGTCAATCTCTCTGACCTTGAACTCATGCACTCTCCACAGAATCAAAATGCTGCCAAATGCAGTATTGGAATATTAATGGTACATAAGGAATGCTTTTAATATGCCAGCCCCAAACCACTCTGAAAGTCTACCCAAAAAATCTTTGAGAAAGTTCAGTAACTTTCATAAAAAGCATCCCATGAGGAAAGTTTATTAAAAGTTAAGCATTTGTTAAGAATTACAATTTTCTTTTAAAAAATCGCAAATAACCCTAATCCAGAGATCCTTTACAAAAGAACATAATAGGATTTAATCTCGCTACAATTCAGCTAATAACAAATAAGCCTTAAGAATTAGGAATTAAGGGCGCCTGGGTGGCTCAGTTGGTTAAGCGACTGCCTCCGGCTCAGGTCATGATCCTGGAGTCCCGGGATCGAGTCCCGCATCGGGCTCCCTGCTCGGCAGGGAGTCTGCTTCTCCCTCTGGCCCTCCCCCCCTCTCATGTGCTCTCTCTCATTCTCTCTCTCTCAAATAAAGAAATAAAAATCTAAAAAAAAAAAAAAGAATTAGGAATTAAGACCAAAAGGCAGCTGAGGAGTCCGTGGGTGCTCCTAGAACCCACGCAATGACCTACAGGACAGAGTCGGGCGTCATGAGGACTTGCCGGGCATTTCAGAAGCCATTCCAACCACCTTGGTTATCTACTTTCAAAGTCTAAGACAGAGCTGAAACAGCAAATCTGAAGGCAGATAAGGGCTCAGGGAGGCATCCAGAGCAAGACACGATGTTAAGAGAAGACAAACAGGAGGATGTGGACAACAGCTCAAAGCGGGGCCGTGGCTTTCAGGGAGAGGCAGACTGCTGGGGGAAGTGGCAGGTCCAGAGCACCGCCATTTCAACACGGGAATAATTCACATTCTCCAAGGATTCTCCCCAAACAATCAAGGAAGAATTAATGTACGTTCAGGTACATAGGAGGAAATACCTGTACATAGATCTGTCCTTTATTATATCATTACCAATTGGGTGAACGTAGAGAAAATAAACCACGTTTACCCAAGCCAAATACAAGACCTCTTAAAAAGTAAAATGCTCTCACTCTTGGTCCACTGCATGTGTCCACAGAATGACAAGCGAATACATTAAGACATAAAACTTAGGGGCGCCTGGGTGGCTCAGTCATTAAGTGTCTGCCTTCGGCTCAGGTCATGATCCGGGGGGTCCTGGGATCGAGCCCCGCATCGGGCTCCCTGCTCAGTGGGAAGCCTGCTTCTCCCTCTCCCTCTCCCCCTGCTTGTGTTCCTGCTCTTGCTATCCCCGTGAAATAAATAAATAAAATCTTAAAAAAAGACATCCAACTTACGCTACGGCTCCCTGCAAGTCTCGCTTCACATACAAAGCACCTGCTGGGTTCTACAGAAAACTTCCCCAGAAGCCCGCTCCAATCAACTGCTGTCACGAGAAAAGCCCGAAGTGGCCAGTGGTTTGCCTAAAGCTCATTTCGCTCAGTTTATTCAGCCACTGTTACTAGAAAAATAAAGTGTCACGAGACTTAATTTTTCTGAGCCAAATCAGGTTACATATACAAGGAGCTAGCTATTAGGACTATAAGCAAGATAAAATTTTTAGCAAAAATTTCTTTTTATAAACTACCCTGACCCACTTTATAAATCTACCTAATTTTTTCATATATTGATCTTAAAATAAAAAAACTCACCCCCCTTCTTCTAATATGATCTTAGTAAATACTAACACTGTATTTTGACTTTGTGTTTACTTCCTCATGTGGTAGCATTACATTACCACTGCTGCAAGAATTTATTAGGAAAACCTGGGCACTTGAGTGGTGCAGTTGGTTACATACCTGACTTTTTTTTTTTTAAGATTTTATTTATTCATTTGAGACACAGAGATAGAGAGAGAGCATGAGCAGAGGGAGAGGCAGAGGGAGAGGGAGAAGCGGGCTCCCCACGGAGCCGGGAGCCCGATGTGGGGCTCGGTCCCAGGACCCTGTGATCATGACCTGAGCGCAAGGCAGACGCTTAACCATCTGAGCCTGAGCCACCCAGGCACCCCCAAACATCCGACTCTTGATTTTGGCTCAGGTTGTGCTATCAGGGTCGTAAGATCAAGCCCCGAGTGAGGCTCTGCACTCGGCAAGGAATCTGCTTGGGGTTCTCTCTCCCTCTCCCTCTGCCCCTCCCCTCCACATGCTCGCTCTCTAAAACATAAATAATAAATCTTAAAAAAAATTTTTATTAGGAAAAGCTGACCCCACCCCCAAATTTCAATGGAAAGGTAACTGATTAGGAAAACGTGACTTACTCTTTCACACCTATATTACCTAATGAAATTCTTCACGCTGATATCTATATTATGTTAATAAATGATACTAACTTATTACTATACACGTTCTACATGGTTTTTAAAAATATTGGTGTAACTTCCACATACTGATCTTTTCCCACGTCCCAGACACAAAGGCCACTGTTAGCAACAGTGGACCCTTCCCTGGGTGTGTCACTAACCTACGGACAGCAGACTCCCATGCTTGGTTAGGACCTACGTCTCACAGATTCTGCTCAAGTGCCGCATCTGTATTTCTAGGGAGCAGCCTGGGACTGAATGCCCATCGCACGGAAGCATCAGGCAAACAGATTCAATAATTTGCTACTCCCCCCACCCCAGGAGGTAACATGTTCTACAGCATCAGCTACAACTACACAAATACAGAAACACTGCCTAACATCATAAGGATGTGAGGATGAGAGTGTGTCCCACATGGACAAGGCTGTAAGGTTCAAAGAAGGATGTGGTTGGACAAAAGTGAAGGTTTTATGAAAACCTCGCTGGACGAGAGTACACTAATAGGTACAAGCTGATTATAAGGCTTCAAGTATTTTTTAATGAAAACGGTCTTACCTCTGGTTCTGTTTTCGCCTCCTCTTTGGGCTGAACCACAGGGCTGACTGGCTTGACTCTGGCTTCAGTCTTACCCTGTGCGCTCCTGGGCCCGGCCCCCGGCCTCGCGGGCGGGGACGTGCTGGCGATCGGCTTCCCAGGAGCTGCAGGTGTGGAAGAGCAGCGGCTGCTACTCATTTCCATCACGTGCGACGGTGCTATGGGCAACTCGCGCAGATTACTGTTTCTCGGAGCGGTTGGCTGCATCTGCTGCATTGGCCGTTTGCTTACATTCTGAGTTGTATTCTACCACAAGAAGGAAGAAATGTGAATTACAACTGGATAGTTGGAGAAAGAACATAAAAAGGAACATTATTAGATAAAAATATTGTAAAAACCATTTTAGTAAGCGACTTCTCCTTCTGGGGTGCGGATCACTTTTCCACGGTGAACCCTTTCTTCCATGCATAACGTTCCCGCTCTACGGGGCAGCACAGACTACTGCTGAGGGTCAGGGCTGGTCCAGGTTACCCTACTGGTCTACAGATAGGCTCCTCCTGAACAGAAATTTTACACCAGGGGACTGCAGCTGGTGCCTGAGGATGGGGACTGACATTTTTAACAAAGGACTGCTGGCACCACTTTTACTGGGCCCCTAAATTTAAGGTGGAAGAAGAAAAGAATCAAGCAGTAAGTCAGTATCCTAAGAAAACTACACCCTGCAGAAGAAACACGCTCAAACGTTTTACCCGAGAGGAAATTCTTAGTCACGCTCATCCCCTGGATTCTTAACAGAGAGCCAACAGCTAGAGGAGCGTACAGGTAGGAGGGACGGCTGGGAGAGGACTGGGCTCTGAGAGCACCAGGTCAGTGTTTACGGGCACAAGGCAGGGGTGTATCTGCCACTGCTGTAATAAAATGAAGCCTCAGTTACAATGCACCTCTCCGAAAGTCCTTCCTCATTTCTGCTATCATGTTAGTCTCAATACTACTTTAAGAAAGAAAGAGGCTGGTATGAGAAAAATTGAAATTAAAAGTAGCTAAGTGACATGCTTGAAGCTGCAGGTCAAAGGGACAATACTAAAAGGAAAATCCAACTACCTCCCCTTGGCCCAACACTCTCAACCATTCGCCTCTTTACGGAGTTATTTAATGGAGAACAAGGCAACAGCAGTGACTACTGTCTTGTGTTTACGGAGCAATCAAGCACGTTTCCTAGTTTCCTTCAATGCGAGACGAGTCACACCCTAGCTGATGGTACCTGAGCCTCTACCCTCACAACTAAATGCACTGTTAATCTCCCACCATTAAATACAGGCTTCATGGAGGCAGGAAACTGCTCTCTTTTGTTCACTGGTGCGTTCCCAGGAACTGGAATGGTGCCTAGCAACAGACGCTAGTCAGACAATTCTTCCTGAATTCATTTACTTATTTATTCAGAGCCCAAGGAGATAGAGACAATCTCACCATCAAAAGTAGGCTACCGGCAAAGGCAGAGTGCCCACCGCCCACAAGTATTTGCCAAAATTATGTGTCTACGAATAATACCGTCTATCACTATGGAAATATCTCCATACACAAAGTAAGATGAGGAAGTACAGAATAACGATGCAGTCTTCCAGGCACAAACGGGACATCATTAATTTCTGTAGTCAAAAAAATCCCGTTTCCTAAGCAGTTTGTGAAACACACACTCACTTTAGAGAAACGTACTACACGTGTTCAGTAATTAAATCACAACTGGAAAATATGCCAGCTCCCAGGTTCTGCCCCCGGGAAGACACTCACATGCCGCAGCCCCTGGCGCTGGGGGCACTGCATCCGGCCGCTGCTGGGCGGAGGCTGGGCCGTCTGGACGTGAGGCCTAAACTGGGGCTGCGACATGGGCATGAGCGGCGGAGGCGGGACGGAGAGGTGGTGGTGGTGCTGGTGCTGCGGCTGGTGAGGTGGCTGTGGGGGCGGCTGGTGCTGCGGGGGCGGCTGCAGCGGAGGCTGGTGCTGCGGCTGGAGCGGGGGCTGCTGCTGGGGCTGGGGCTGCGGCTGGTGCGGAGGGGGCAGTGGGGGGTGCAGAGGCCCCTTCCATGCCAAAAGAAAGAGAAACAACGGCTTGTAAACGTATATACTAGTGACGTTCCAATTCGGCCATCCCCTTAAAACCCCCAACCAGAAACCTGAAGTGGTGCTGAAATTTCATTTTAGAATTTGTGGATAGAGGTAATATGATCTTAAATGCAGTAAAAAGCCAAAAGCTATGCTCGTGCATTTTGCATTTGCCCTAAGTCCTCTTCACCCCAAAATTCCAGGCATTTGTTCTAAGGAAACAACTAAGGATGCAAACAAACACAATGTTAAGGATGGTGCCCGCAGCACTGTTTCTAATACCAAAGTACTGAAATCAGTAAACATGTCCAAAGAGTAGTGGCCGCCATGAAATGTAAACTTGTGCAGCATTTTTTAAACGATGCAGTGAGAGCTAATTCACGAACAGGAGATCCTGCTACTGTGTTAACAAGAGCACGGTGACAGGATGCACTAGGACAACCCGGGAAACCACAAGCACCCAAATGCTGGTGGTGACTGTTCCTAGACGATGGGATTTCTCAATTTCCTTTTTAAATACTCAAATATTCCTGCAACAGAGATGTATTCATATTTTTTCATCATATTTTTTAATAAAAAGAAAAAGGAAGAAACATTTTATCCTACTTTAACACATGAAATAATAATTTTTTTTTTTTTAATTTCGATAGTCTATGTGTTTCTAAATAGTTGATTCAAGTAGCATCATTCTGTATCTTAACAGTAAGCTTAAATCTGAGCAGAATCATACGGGGCAAGAAGGATCTCACAGAAACTCCCAGGCCCCCATGAAACACAACCTACAGCAGAGGGCACTCAAATCTTTCAAACAACGGGGGAACAGCAACTCCGTTTTCCCCTCCATGCAAAGAATCTTTCTACTACATTTTGCAGGCACATAATTTGACAAAGAACCTTATTTCCATTGGTGAACCTTTCAGGAATCTTGCAATGATGAGCCAAAGTATTATCCAAACATGTCCTAAATTTATTAGCAGTACCACCTTTAAAAAATCTGAATACTGAATTTTTTCATTTCCCCCAAAATGACAATCACTTTTTTCCATTTCTCCTACTATTAGGGGAAAAAACAATATTGTTAAGAAAGTTGCCTTTAATAAGTAGCACGTTGGAGACTAAACCTTTATTCTTTACATCATCTCCACATTCTAGAAGACTCAGATAGCAACAGGAAACTTCCATTTTATGAAACACAAAGATCCAAAGCTCCAGGTGCACCCCTCTTCCATGCAGCCCGCCAAGATCCATACCTGCAGGTTAGGCTGTGCGTGGGTGGGCAGAAACGGCTGTCCCGGGCCAGGCAGGAAGGGCTGCCGAGGAGGGATGAAAGGCCGCGTGGCCGCTGAGCCTGGCTGGCTAAAGTGAAGGATCCCCACTGGACCTGGTGGCTGGAGAGTCGGCCTGACAGGCCTCTCTCTGGGGAACACGGGCTGCTGTCCCTGCTGATTAAACGCTGGTCCAGGCTGAGTGAACGGTAAGGGACTAGGGGTGGGCACCGGGTGAGTGCTGCTAAGAAGCGTGGGGGGCGGTGGCGGCGGAGGGGGGCTTCGCTGTTCCAGAAAAAGATGACTCGGGAACCTTGGTTCACCTGAAACTGAACAGTGGTGCAACATTACCCTCGGCTTGTACACAACACGCCTTTCACACAACAGCAGTTTTATGTACCATCTTACTGAGAACAAAAATTACAAGTGGTGGGTAGGAGGTGAATGCTACATTTTACAACTTATTTCTAGATTACTTCATTACTCCTTTTCTATAGAGGACTGCCTCCTTTGTAGGAGATTCTCACATTGTAGATACCAACAATGTCCAATTTTAGCATCTGAAATGACAGGAAGTGCTCTGGTACAAAAATCTGACAATCTTCACAAAAATCTCCTACTGGAAGCTCAATTCAGTTTAAAACATGAATGTGTTCAGGCACATCACCCAGTACGACTTTGTTCTGTGAGCCTGCACAGTCCTTTACCTCCTAAGAAGAAAGGGTCTCGCTCCTGTGGCGGGGGCGGGGCCCTCCACTGGTCCTGGAGGGGAAGTCGTGGGGGCTGGCTGAAATTGCTGGGTACAGGCCCAGGTGCATGCTGCGGGAACTCTGGAGGGCCCTACGGAACAAAGGGAAAACAAGATGAGAGGCAGGAAAATAGTCGGCCATTTCCAGAAATGAATACATACGTGGTTCCAACCTGAAAACATCCAGTAACTGCCTCCTATAGCCCCCCATATATAACTAGATGTTATGAAGTGATCCTACCGTTAATGAAACAGTCAAACATCAAAATGCAGCACTGAAACATGAACTCCATGTTCCAGTATCACTATAGCAGAATAAGAACATTATCTTTAAGCTTACTGAAACCTATGCGATTACTGACCCTTCTTGCCCATTAATCTAAAAGGCTAAATGTCTACCTCCATCGTCCTTGGCACTGATCTTCTTGAACATGCTATAATTTGCTGCCTTTTGAACACAACCATAAACTACAGTTATGAAGCTGCTTTGTTTCTAAAGAAGAAAAAGACCCTGAATGTGTACCATAATAAACATCAGCAAGCTCTGATGTAACAGGACAATGTGAAATATTTAAGAAACCGAACCATATATGTATTGCTACAAAAGACATGTTTCAAAGTCAGATTCCACTGGATAAGACACTTTGAACTCGTACAGATTAACATTCTTCCACTAGAACTCTAGAGACAAACTAAATTACTTCATTTTTTAGTTGGCCTTTTAAGTATTCATAGAGATCTTTAAAAGTACTACATTTGCATTCTTTTTTTTTTAAGATTTTATTTATTTATTTAAGAGAGAGAATGAGAGAGAGAGAGCACGAGAGGGAAGAGGGTCAGAGGGAGAAGCAGACCCCCCGCTGAGCAGGGAGCCCGATGTGGGACTTGATCCCAGGACTCCAGGATCATGACCTGAGCCGAAGGCAGTCGCTTAACCAACTGAGCCACCCAGGCGCCCTCACATTTGCATTCTTTCTTTGTTTTTTGGGGGGGGGGGAGGGAGTGAGGCATTTAAAGAAAGCCTCACCAATTTTTTTCACTTCTCCAGAAAGAATTCATTAATTATACAGATCATCAAAATAACTGTCATTTAAAAACATCTTTGAAACTCAGCATTTCTAAACTTTTAAAAATCATGCTCCTTTCTCATAAACTTGAAATTCTAACTCCTTTTCTGTCATCTTATTACTAATACATTTAGCTGTTGCCTCTAAATGTGACAGCATCTTACAACATTGAAAATGTTTTTGCAAACTACATTTACCTTCCCTCTCTCCTTAAAAGTCTGTTTTCCCTGTGGCATTGTAAGAACAATGCACAGTAAACGGAATAGCACCCATGAAAAGCTCCAGAAAAGCCCATCAGGCATGGAAATGGCCCATCGGCAAGAGGACTGTCACCACTGGGAGAGTCCAAGAGAACTATCCTGGAGAACCGTGGGATCCAAGTCAACTCTTGGGAACACTGGGTCTGTCCAAGTTCTGAGAATCACGTAACAAGTTTAAAGACCAAGTCATAACACCTGGACTAGTGCTAGAGCGACCTGCGAGGGAACCTGTGGGTCTGCCTGCATGCAGGGCGTGGGGGCGGCAACGGGACGGGCCCTGGTGAGGGAGACTCGGGAAATGGACTAGTGAAGTGCTGGGTCTGGAAATGGGTGGGCTACCTGGATTCAATGCCAATTCTCTTGTTCCTCTGGCTGGTCTTGCAGCCCAGGGGAAGCCAGGTCAGGAGCCCAGAGAACTGAGCCAGAGCCCAGGGCAGGGTGTGAACCAAGGCTAAGGTCTAGTTACCAGCAAGCCACAACGGGAGACACTTCTGCTTTGCACAGATGCCCAGCCTCCGTACACGTGAGCCAACGCTCCGGACACAGCCCCTACGGCACAGTGACCAACGACTGCAGTGATCTGCCCAGGATTTCAATAAACCACCTTGGTAAAGCCAACGTGAGCCAGTCGAGGATTGATACCGTATGAGCACCGACTTCAGAGTAAGGGCCAATGGGCACTGGGGGCCCTGAGTCCCTCGGCACAATGGCCACAGTGGTCACTGGTGCCTTACATACTCCACATCAAGTTCTGTGCAGAGCCCCGACCACCTGAGCTCACGAACTCAAAGCACAGCAGGAGCGCAAGACCCATTTCACAGCCAAGGAAACGGAAACTCAGGACATTAAATAATTTGCCCACGATGACATCATTCTATTTTCTTTTAAATTTTATTTATTTTATGATTATCATTTTTTAAGTAGGCTCCACGCCCAACGTGAAGCCCAGTGTGGGGCCTGAACTCACGACCCTGAGATCAAGACCTGAGCCCAGGGCAAGAGTTGTCGGACACCCAACCGACTGAGCCACCCAGGCGCTCCTATTTTTTTTTTTTTTTTAAATCAAGAGATTTCAATACTCAAGAAAAACAAGTTAAAAGCTCCCAAAGGGTTCATTTTTTTCTTAACATGAAAATGAAACACGGGAAGTTTCAACCCATATGATATAAATCTTATCAAAATTACTAAATTTGGGGATTTTAAAAACCAGATTTTCTCTTGACTCAGACATGAAAACAATAGCCTACAGCTAACAGAACTGTGAATTCTGGAAACCATCACGTCATACACAAACTTCCATATTTCATACCTCATCCCCGTCTTTGGAAAATTTTCACTCTACCCGCTGTCTCAGCCAAAATGCAAAATCTCTACAGAGAAGGGCTTCTCCGGTAAGTCCTCGGTACAGGCACTCCATTTTCTCCTGCCCTACTTTCCTCTCTTGCAGCTCCGTCTGGCCGGCTCACGATTTCGGGAGATCTGCCCTGCACATGGCCCATGGACCATGTACCTACCCACATGTCCCACTTCTCCACACACCACTGAGTGCTGCTGGATAAAGCTGGAATCACTAAGAGTGTGGATTTCACTTTAATTGGCCTATCAATGTCCCTCGGCAGTTTCTCACCTACTGCCCAGGATACTCTGCCATCTCAGAGCATCTCCTGGTCCCTCCGCCCTCACGGCTCTGTCCTCCCTAATGCTCCTACCACGTAAGGTGCTTCCTCCTCTGGGCTGATAGGGACTCCCAGTCCTCTCACCCAGCAATGCTCTCTGCATCCTGTGTCCTATCTGCTTTCATTCCTATCCATCTACATAGAACATTCTAGCATGAATAATGTGCTTGCTGCTAACGTTCACTCTATGATGACACTGGTCAGATTTTTCATTAAAAAGTAGGAACGGTACGCTAAATTATGACCAGGGTTGAAAGTATTACACTACTGATTTGTTGGCAAGCTTTCATCCTGAATTTGAGTCAGCAAAATTCAGGGCTCGTAACTCATGCACTGCATCAGTCGAGGAGCTGAAAAAACACAGACGCAGGGACACAGTTCAGAGAAGAGGACAGACAGAATAAAACGTACTTTCTTAGAAAGAGGGGGAGTCCTCGGGTTATTTCCACTCAGCCCTGAGGTCCTGTGTTATACCAAGAGCTGGAAAGCAGCGGCATTCATTGTGGGAACTACTTACAAACGTACCAACTGTTGCACCCACTCCAACAAAGGGGAGAGCAAAGTGTCATTTCTCCACGGTCCCGAGCCACTCCCGGACCAGCACTGCTGTGGCCTGCCCCAGGCAAGCCCCACCGGCACTCCTTTCCCGTGAGTGCCCTACAGGACCCAGTGTGCACCGCGTTTCCGTCCGTGTCACCCACGCCTCGGATCGGAGGCACAAGTCGGGCCCAGGCAACTGCCTCTGGAGCTGGCACTCCTTCACGCGGGGACCAGCAGTTTCTCCTCACCTTCCTCCTGACTCTACTCATAATTACAGGAAGCGGAAAGAGGCTCCTGACTCTTCTGTCTTGACTAAAAACCATGGCTTTCTTCGTGATTTAGCAGGTGAAGGCCCAATACTTCCTGCTAGTTTTCGCACCGGGCTTACATCATGCAGGGTTTACAGAGAACTGGAAAATACTCGGTTTCTTCTAAAATCTGTTGGAAGCGATAAATTCCACGACTGCGTTATCCTGCCCCACGTCCCTCCCCTGCTGAGGAAGTCCCAGACAGGACTGGCCACATGGCTGCGACAACAGGGCTCTTCAGAGCCTTCGTTTTCTCCTTCCATTAGAGAGTTAATTTCAAGGCCTCCAAAAGATAGGTTTTCTCATTATAGATAAGGCAAAATGTAACTGGAAAAGTAGACTGGCTTCCCTTCCATTATAAGCAGAAGGTCTGCTAAGTTTTGATTTTGACTTTGCCCCAGATTGAGATCAGGGTAAGTATTCTCAACCCCCTTCATCCGTTTCCAAAAGGAAGCAGTTACTGAATTATGAGAATGAACTCAAAGAGAAACCAATGTGGTTAGTTTTCAACATTCCTGGGAGATTATTTTAAATATTCATAACTAGTTCTAAAGACATTTTTGTATTAAACTGAAATACACTGGGATCATAAATCTTGCCCCCTTTAGAATTCTAATATTGTGATTTTCATCTCTTTCCAGACCTTCTTTCCTTTTACTAATTATCTACGTGCTGCCTGATTGCATTTAGACACAAGCATTCAAAGGTGAGCAATATGTAACGAGGCCCTCCCATACCCTTTCTTCATCAGTCCCTGTTCAGCCAGAACCGGTCTTCCAGCTGGTCGTCTCTCCGAAAGGCGCTGGCTGGCAGAGGCTGAGGGAGCAGGTGGCAGCACCCGCCCTCCCATCACCTAGCACAGCCCTGAGCATGCCACCGAGCCTCTCTGGGCCTCCGTTCTCTTATCTAGAAAAGGCAGGGATACTGATGGGACCCGCTTCTCAGGGGAGGAGATGAGAGAACACGTTCAAAGTGCCTAGGACAGTACCCGGTGAGTAAGAGAAGTTCACAACGCCCGCCGCTGCTGTCATCCATACGTGACGTTTCTGCAGACAGCATTCCATACCGTAAGCCTAACACAGAGCTGCTGACGAGCGCCATGTCTCCTCACACAGCGCAAAACAGACCAGCGCGGGCCCCCTTCCTGCAGTCTCACCCGAGTCACAGGAGGCTTCGCAGCGGAGCCGCCAACACCCCAGCAGGCCCACGCCTGTCGCACACCCACTCCACTGCTCTCTGCC